CCATCCATCCATCCATCCATCCATCCATCCATCCATCCATCCATCCATCCATCCATCCATCCTATCCTTCTAACATTTTGATGCATTCCTATTGTATTCAGCATATATTTTCATGCATTTATGGAAGTGTTTTGGCACATCAAAGTCCTCCTGCATTTTCTAATGCAGTTCCTCAAATGCTGAACAAAGCAGGACTGGGACAGAAAAAGGCTGGGTTTTGTTCTGTTCTCTAGGTCTATGAGTCAGAGCACAGCACGAATACCAATCTCCAAATCCCTCCCTCCACTTCCACTTTTCACTGCTTTTATTCCTCTGTCTAGATTGGCAATTTCTTCCCCCTGGTCTCTGGAGGGGACTTTTCTGCTAGACCAATTTCATCCATAGGTCCACCTTCAATCCGAAACGACCTCCCCCACACCTTCACTGGTACTGCCTCCCTTGTTCCGCGCTCTCCAAATGCCCATGAGCCATTCACCCACACCTGCTCAAGGCATCAGCCCTCATCAACGCCTGTGTGCCCTTCTGATTTGCAGGACGGCTCCTGCGGTGCCGATTATGGAGAAGTCCTGCAGTGAACCGGAAAGCAGGCTCTGTGGGAATCAAAAGGCTATTCCCACTTTCCCCAACCTCTCCCCACACCACACTGCCACCGCCAGAGAGGAGACCGGAGGACAGGACAGGAAACACTGCACAGAAGGCAAAAATCTGGGAGTACAAAAGGGCCTAAAGTGTGCTCAAGGGAGACTGTGGTTTTGCATGTGTGTGTGGATGGTGTGAGTTGTATTTTAATGTTCATGCATGTGTTTGTGTGACAGCATATGTGCATTGGTGGAGGGTGGCCAAGGCCATTTGGAATTAGTCTTACTATGTAGAGTTCATTCAACTTGGAGCATTCTGAGTAGAAAGAGAGGCTTATTTAAATGATAATGAGGGACAATCCATTGGATTTACTGCTGGTGAAGGAGGGAAAAAAAGGGGAGGGGAAGGGGGATCCATTAAAACGCCAGCGGTTCATAAGCCATAGGGTCGGCATACAGCTAAACACTCTCTCTTAAAAGCCATTATACATGGCTCTCAATGGATTTCTGCAGCGCTTAGGACTTCAAAAGGATTTAAGAACCCGCCCCAGAGAGGGAGTGTGGGGGGATGGTGGCGGACAAGTGTGTGTATGTGTGTGGTGGCTATGGTGGTTGATGGCGAGAGGGATGGGGCGGATGCTGGCAGCATTTAAGGGTTAACTAAACAGCCCCAGAGAAGAGAAATGTTGCTAAATCCACCCCCTAATCCTCTCCCCATTTTCATGCCCCCTCCTCCACTCTCCTAACAAAAAAAAAGAAAGAAAGAAAGAAAGAAAAGAAAACCATGGCAATAAGAGGGGAGTGTCCAGTCTTCTCCTAACCCAGACAAGTAGTTTCAGCTGCTGCTGGAAAGCAAAGAGAGAGGCCAAATCGAGCTTTTATGACCAAGATGAGGGAAGGGATGTAMGCATGCTTTCCTTGTGTGTCAGAGCGACAAGATAGGTGGGTGGGTTTGTGTTCATGAGGGGCGGCTATTGGTGAGGGAGTCGGAGCCCCGGCAGCACCGTAAGTACCACCCTCTTTCTCTGCAGGACACAGATGCAATGGAACCCACCCCCTTCACCACCTCACATTTCCCTAATCCCTGTGTGGCTTAGTGACGGTGCCCTGCTGCTCCGCAGGCACAATTACCTAGTCAAAATAAGCAGATAAAGACCCAGCCATGGCAATGAACAAACAACATCCCCTGCAATTTTTTTTACCCCCTGCTTCCAAATTGATGCATGACTGTTTTTACAGGCAGGCAGGCGGGCGCGTCCACATGTAGCATTTGTCTCTATTTCCTTTGGCGGTAAGACAAGAGAAATCCATTTTACTCGTTGCCGTTGCAGCATCATTAGTTGAGAGCTCTTAAAGCTGGGGAGCCACTTTGATATGGTGGAGCACATTTTATGAAAATTAGCAGTACTCTCAGTGTGGCGGTGGAGATTTCATTCAGCTGAAAAAAAAAAAGAGACATATACAAGAGGTGGTGACAAAGTGTTGTTGAAGAACGCTGCCGTGTGTCATGGTCAGACCATCACTAAGTGGAATACAGTCAGCAAAAAGAAAGTAGAAGCACATTTAGAAAAATAAAGAGAGAGAGAGAGAGAGAAAAGTGAAAAACAAGCAGAGGGAGAGAGATGGGTAGATATAGATGCTGTGGCTACAACAATCAGAGTCTGTGCACCATTTATTTGGCAGCAGATTAGAGAGACAGGCCACATCTAACACTGTCAGTGATTACAACATGCAATTTTCAACAACCCACCCCCC